GCGGCCCCGGTAGCCCACTTGACAGTAGAGGTAATAGAGACCGTCCTGCGGGAGGGCCAGCCCCTCGGCGTCCGAAAACTGCGTCCCGCTCCGGAGAAAAGCCTCTTCTTTCGTCGCCTCCCAGCTTAGCCCCTGCGCCTTCGTCCGAGCGCCTGCGGAGAAACGGGCCCGTGGCTGTCGGGGAAGCCGAGGCCGAAAGGAGCGAGCCGGGCCCGGGACTTCTGGGAGGGTGGGCGGCCCCGAGGGAACCAGCCGACAAGGGGCAGGGGTGATGGTGCCACCTCTGGAATGAGTGTGAGTTGGGGGCTGGGGGCACTTGAATGTGGGGTGCAGAGCTGTGGTGGGGAGATCCAGGCCGGGTTTTGCCTGCTGCAGGAGGGAAGAAGCGGCTAGAATAGGCGGAGGAGCCTGAGGGGGGCACTTCAGGAGGGTGAGATGGTGGGGCCAGTGGGAAATTGAGCACTGGAATAAAAGAGCTCTAACTGTGGGCGAGCAAAACTAGTATCCTCGGATTATTTCAACGCTTGTTCAGGTCTATGAGATCCTTACCTATGAGGTGGGCAGCCGGGAGCCTGGGGCTGAGATCCGTTTCTGGCTCTGCCTTCTGCACCTCCTGAAACCCTGGAAGGGGCAAAGGGTCTATCACGGGGGACAGGGCAGCCACCAATGCATGCTCCCCCTGAGAGGAAAGGGCTCCAGAGCTCAGGGATGGGGAGCCTGGATTCCTGCAGGAGGAGGGAATCCGGGATGCAGAAGGAAGCTGGGAGTCGCTGAGGGGCTGCAATGGGGGAGGGGAGATGGTCTGCTCTTACCCAGTCCTTGCTGGGCCTGTGACCCGGAGTCAGTGTTCTCTGTTACCTGGTTGGGTAGGATCACAATGCCCAGAGTTCAGATCCAGCTGATGCCAACCCCACCCCTCCCAACATGGACCCAAGCTTCAGACGTGGGGTTTTCCCCACCAGCACCAGCCCCAACCCTCACTTCCCTGGAAGGGAAAGTAAGCAAGGCAGATGGACTTGTGCAGAGAGACAGGGGCCTGAGTGTGTCTTGGGAAGAGGAGAGGAAACTGAAGGGCTTGGACACATCAGGACACAACAGCATCGCCAGAACATAGAAAGAGAGCCAGCAAGGACAAAGACAGGACATTCCTGCCAGGGACAGCTGAGCCGGATGAGACAACAGACCCCAGAACAGCCAGAGGTAAGTCAGCATCGGCAAGATACGCCCCACCTGTGGGCCTGTTGCAGCCACTCACCAGTCCTCCCTGCTCCTGAGGCACTAAGGCCAGCACAGCCAGCACAGTGATAGGCACCGCCAACAGCAAGGTCACCAGGGAAGTAGCTCCTGCCACAGCCACCAGGAGGGAGCCCCTCCCCTGGGGCCTCCCACCCCGGCCTGCCAGCTCCAGTGCCCCCATGGAGACTCTGACCCAGGGCCAGGGCGGGGGGCTTTCATACCTCAAGGCTGGGGCTACCCCCTCCCTATAGACCCACACACCTGGCAGGGACTTTCCACACACCCCTACTCCCCTCACCCAGCTTCCTGTTTACCCAGAGCTGGGGTGGGGCAGCCGGGTGCCTGGGTTCTCTGAACTGGGGAAGGAGTTGGGGTAGAGACACAGTCTTTGAGGAGACAGCTGGCCTTAGAGATCTGGCTCAGCAGGGAGGGAAACCAAGGCCCAAGAAGGGAAAGTAGCTTGCAGAAAGTCGGGCAGCAAGGCCATCATGAGAACACAGAACTCAAATTTCCAATGTGGTCTACATTCTTCTATCCCCCAGAGGTGGTGCTGGAGGGAGAGCTGCATCCAAGTCCCTGAGGTCAAGGGCTGGAGTAGGAGGACAAGAACTGGGATTGTGAGGGATGGATGTCTGGGTCCCTGAGAAGTGCCCCTGTCCAACTGCTACCCAATCATTGCTCATCCCTGGCCCCTGGCTCTAGGTGAGAAAGGCAGAGTTAAGCCAGTCCACAGCGATGGCAGCTGAAAGGGGCCTCAACCTCCCCCCTGACTACGACTCGCTGAGGTAGAACGACAGGAGAAGGATGAGGCAGCCCCCACCCTCAAAGAGCTTCAGTCTATTATGAGCCCCATCCATTAGTAGGTGCTTACCAAACGTTTATGAATAGTTGAATGAAAGGACAGATGAAGGAAGAAGTATGCAAAACAAAGCAGCAAGGACCACATGAATGGTGGAGGTGGGCAGCGCAGTAGGAGCTGAGGAAAGAAAGATCGGGTTCAAGGAAGTTGGAGGTGGTCCCAGATCATCTCCCCTTCTTGATGACATCTCTGTGTGTTTGGCTAATAACAATAATAAGAATAATATGCTACTATGCAAACAGAAGTTAGTGTCTGCCTGTCACTGATCTGTATACTTTATATATAATAATTCTTTTAATCCTGACAAAACTCCAAGATGAAAAAGGCACAGCAAGTTTAAGGAACGCATGGGAGATAACAGCCAGTGGCAGAGGCAGGATTAGAACCCAGGCAGTCTGGCTCCAGAGCTTCAACCACAAGGCAGTTTAAAAACTGTACTGATTTGTATATTTTACGGTATATAAATTTTACCTTTCTCAGTCAAAAAAAGAAACAAATACAGAACTCTAGTCAATGATAAAGGGTTTACAAGTGAAATGTACTGATGTTTACAACTTTGAACGATATAAAAAATCAGATAGATTGATAGATATGTAATAAAGCAAATATAGAAAAATGTTAATTGTGGAATCTAGGTAGCAGAGATATATTCACTGTACAATTCTTTCTATTTTTCTGCATGTTCGAACTTTTTAGTTACAAAATATTTTTTAAAAACCCGAATATCGGGTCGGCCCTGTGGCGCACTCGGTAGTTGCGCTTGGAAGCGAGGCAGTGCTCCCGCCGAGGGTTCGGATCCCATGTAGAGACCGGTCCGCTCACTGGCTGAGCGCGGTGCAGGCGCGACACCGAGGGTTGCAATCCCATTACCAGTCACGAAAAAAAGACAAAAAGGAAAAAAAAAAAACAAAAAACCCGAATATCGTCCTACTGTTCTGCAGGGGAACATTGAGGATGTGGGTAGGGGTGGGGGAGGAAGTAGCAGAGAGTTCCTGAATTTGGAGAAGGAAATGGAAATAAATGCATGTGGACCCAGGCACCAGATCTCCTCAGCCCTGTCCTCCATGTGAGCTCCCCAGTCTTCACCCTCCTCAAGGACTGTGTGTGCAGTCCTCCAGCACCCATTTCCCTCTCCATCAAGTGCCACTAAAAAGGCTTCACCCAGATTTCTGTCCAGAGGGCCTGGGACCACTGCCCTTACTTAGTTCTTGCTCAGCACCAGAATGCTGCCTCCTACAGGAAGTCCACCTGGATTGCCCCCATCTCCTTACCCATTTCCCAACACCAACTTGTCACCAACTTTCTATTCTAGATCTATCTGCAGTGCTCACATAGATCTAGTCTGGCTGCCTCTGATTCTCTTGTTTGTTAATCAGCCAGCAAAGCTCCCTGCACAATACAGTTGCACAACACTGGGTGAGTCATCCGAAATCTGCAGAGTGAGGGGTAATTGGGAAAAGATTCACCAGGGAAGACACATGGAGGAGGTGGACATTCTCTGATTACTAGCAGGACCAATAGGGTGGCTGGAGCTCAGGGGGATTACAGCCCTAGTAACAGTCCTAGGAGTCTAAAAGGAAATATGTTGTAATCCTAACCCTCAAAGCCAAACTTCCTCTCCTAATGATGCTGGGGAGGCACCCAAGCAGGAGGAGAAGTTAAAGCCAGAGGAGGGGCAGGAATGTCTGAGGTGGCGTGGCTCTGGCCAGTCTGCTGTGTGTCCGCCCTGCAGTCCACGGGCTCTGGGTAAGCTGGGAGTGGGCAGGGACGTGGAGGGGAAAACCGTAGGGAAGGAGGATGGTCACACCCCAGAGTGAGATGAGGGGAGGGAGAGTATGAGTTTGAGGTTCGGTGGGCACTAGAGGAAAGCTCTATTCAACCTGAGTTTCTGCTCCCCAAAGTAATGGAAAACAACCCACTCTGCTCCCACTGCCCTCACGGCTACCTCGGCTCTTCCCTCCACTGTGCTTCTGCTCCCCACCCAGCCCCACACCGCAGCCTCCTCTTAAACCCAGGAGGGTCAGTTTCCAGACCCTAGTCAGTGCATCTGGCTGTGGGGCCAGTCAGTGGCCCGTCTTTACCCTCAAACAGAAACCAGTGGTTGGAGGGCAGGAAGTGCCTGAGGGGAAGTTATGGGGCCCCAGATACTCCTCAATGCCCCACTTCAGCCCCAGCAGTATCTGCTGTGGGAAGCAGCTGTAACATCAGTCAAGTAGGACCCCACTCTCCTGAGATGCTCTGGGGCTAAGGGAGTGGCCCCAGCTGCTGGGTGGCGCTAGGACCATCCTCCCTACTTTTTCACCAGACCCCATGCCCCAGCCAGACCCTGGCTTCTCCCCCTCTATCATCCTCCCACCAGCACCTAGAACTATCCATGCCTGGATAGGCCCCTCCAAACCACCTGGCCAGCCTAGGGCAGAGGGAAAGGGGTGAGCTCTGGAGCTGGACAGAGCTGGCCTTGAATACTTGCTCTACTACTCTAGGATGGAAGTCCTTGTAAAAGTCTGGGCTTGAGTCAAGTTCCTCACCTGGGAAATGGGCACCATAATACTCCATATTGTCATTGGGATTAGCAGTGAGAAATGCAAAGTGTCCAGATCATGGATGACACATTGGTGAGGCCCTCAGCCTGGGAACAATTGTAACACAGGGCTCCTGTCTTTACAGATGAGGAACTGGAGACACGTGACTAGCACCAGGCCATTTAGCCTAAGAGAGCAGGGGCTAAGTGTCCTGACCTCCACACTAGTCCTCAGTCTCCGACCCAATGTCATCTCACTGTAATGACTGTTTTGCAAATCGTAAGTAAGGGGCCTTGCACTTCTGCACAGGGAGGGCTGCGAGTGGTCAGGGAGCAATTCATGAAAAGGGGTGTGTGCAGAGCACGAGCAAGTGGGCGGGGCCTCTCAGGACCCACTGGTGCAGGAGGGAAGGGGGCTTCATGGAGGCCCAGCAGGCAATGGCAGTGGGAAGCCTCGGAGGTGCACAGTCACTGATGGGAGATGTGCACCTCTGGAAAGAGGTGAGATAACCAGGCCTGGGGCGAAGAATGTCTGAAAGTATTTGTTCTGCCTCTAAAACTGTTGGAGAGGGAGGCTGAGACACCCACAACCAACCAGCAGGATGGGGTAAGTGAGGAGAGAACTGGACCCTCTGACACTTACCCTCTCCCTGCAGACATGTGCCCTTATCTCTATGGGGGCTGGGGGCTGGAAGGGCTCCTGCTCCTGGCTGTGGTCACTCTGTCCACCTGTCTGTATCGGCTCCATCACAGGGGTGAGTCCCACCCACACCTCCCTGCTTCACCCACAGCATGCCCGTGTTGCCCACCTGCACAGTTTCCCACGGCTTTCCCAGGAGGCCCCGGGTGAGGAAGATGGGGAAGTCGGGCGGGCAAGGTGACAGAAGTGTCCAAAGAGGGAGGGCAGGGCTTTGGCCATGGGGACCGCAAGGAAGCCAGCAAGTGAGGAAACGCCTGCCTGCGGGTGGGGAGCCCCTGAGGGGGGCTTGGAGGCGCTCCATTGGAGAGCTGTGCTGAGCTGCTGCTTTTCTTCCAGTAAAAAGGCTGGAGAGGAGCTGGGTGAGTCTGGGGAAGGGAACGGGGAGAGGGCAGGGGAGATGGGGTCGCTGGGAGAAAAGGAGAGAGAAAGCAGGAGCAGGAGGGTGCCAGAGAGACAGAGAAAATGAGAGAGAAAAGCAGACAATCAATTAGAAAATAAGAAAAATTAGAATTAAAATTAGAGAGAAAATAAGAGAGAGGCAGGAAAAGAGAAACAAGAGAAAGAGAAGAGAGGGCAAATGGTGTGGCGACAGTAAGAGAAAGTGACAGAAAGGAGGAAGAGAGAGAAGAAGGAATGAGAGAGACAAAGAGACGAAAATGAGAGAAAATAGAGAGACACAGAAAACATGACAGAGAGAAACGAAGAGAGAAAGTAAGAGAGATAATAAGAGCAAGAGACGGGGAGAAAACAAGAGAGACACACACAGAGAAAGACCAATGAGAGAAAAGAACAAGAGCTTAGGCCGGTGCAGAGAGAGAGAGACAGAGAGACAGACAGAGAGAGAGAGACAGAGAGAGGGAGAGAGAGACAGAGAGACAGAGACAGAGAGATGGGGGAGAGAGAGAGGGAGAGAGAGGGAGGGAGGGAGAGAGAGACAGAGAGACAGAGACAGAGAGACAGAGAGACGGGGGAGAGAGAGAGGGAGAGAGAGGGAGGGACGGAGGGAGGGAGGGAGAGAG